TTTGTACTTTCCATTAGGACATCTGGATTTTATTTAATTTTGATTCTTGCCAAAGTCAGGGTAGTCAGGTTGGCCAGAGAGGTATGATATACAATGAAATAGCATGTTTCTTTAGAGTCATACATTTTTATTTGGACACAAAGAGACTTAAGGATAGGTTGTTGACTGTAATAATATGGTATTTGGTAATGTGGAAAGGTTCTTGAAGAAGATGGATTGTAAACTGTTTTTCCCAGATTCAGAATAGTGAGACTTAAAAGGGCAGGGTGTCTAACCATGAAGGACATTTAAGATTCTGATCTCTTGAGAATATAGAGAAAGAAAGATAACTGGTTAATTTATTGTAGCTTCCCTGTTAGATAAAATACAGCATGAACAAGAAGTTCATCAAGAGACATTGTCTTTTTTCAAAGTGTTCTTTAAATCACGATTGAAAAAGTGCTTATAAGTTGTAAGATATAAAAGGGAGAAAGGCAAAATGGTCTTCCACACGGCAATGTGACCTAGAGGGAATGCTTGCTTTTACAGCTCATGTCCATCATCCCGATTAGTTGCTTAATCTGATTACTGTTCCTTGTGTTCCATATGTCAGATACATGGCTTTAAAACCAGCCCCAATTTTTTTTAGCTCCATTATAATTAAACAGTTCATAAAACGTGCAGGTTTTTCAGGCAGTGAGGTTTTTAAGACAATATGCTTTTATTAATGGAGTAGATTTCTGATAGATTTTCAAGTTATAAAAATCAGTGATTCTGGGAGTGGGAGCGGGGGCTATATATCAGAACAGGAAGAATTCACATTCTCCTCCTCAGTCTCCACTTATAATGAGATATGTTACAGAGAGGAAGGGGTTATTATTGTAAATGATTTGAAGATGGAGAAAAGGCTGAAAGCCACTGGCTTAAGGGAAAGACATGGAACCAGGGGTCCCTAGTGAGCTCTGTGTTATTAGTTGATTGAGACAATGATCTGGTGCTCTAAGCAAAACAAACAAACAAACAAATCTTTCTGTGTGATTATCTAATTTAGTTCCTCTTTGGGGCCATGGAGACTAAGCCAGACTTAATCTTTTGATTCTATATGGAGTTCATTTTATGAATTTGTATTCCTGCTGAATTACACAGATGACATTCCTATTTGGCTGCTTGGTTGGTCCTTGGATTCTCCCTAAACCTTCTGATATCCATCAATTTCTGTGTTCTCTTTCATTGTTTTCCTTCGTGTGACTACTAACTTCTGAATAATGTCTCAGAAGTTTCAGGGCCAAGCTGGGTCAGACTCACGAGCCAGAGTAAGTAATGGTGGCAATTAAGAAGTCGCATTCAGAATTATCTAGAGATTTGATACCCTGAAGTAATAGCAACGACCTAAGAGTAAGCCTTACCCTGGGGAGGAAGGAAGGAAGTAAACTGATGTGAATTGAAGTTGATGCTAATGAGCATTTGTTGGTTCCAGGCTGTGTCACTCCACTCTGTCCCCTTACTCACTTGCTTTGAAGGAGAGTCAAAAGGTAGTTTTAATTTGATGAGACACAAGTGGGAGTTAGTTCTGGGTTTGGGAAAGGGAAGTAATAGAGAGTGTGGTGCTTTTCTGTTCATTGTTCATTATAGAAATGGTTTTATAAAGAAATTGTGCAACTGATATTTATTGAAAGTGCTACCACCTTACACTTCACTAATTATGATAGCATATGGGGAAGGCCTCAAAACTATGAAATATTCTTAAAAATACAAGGTTTATTTATTTTATTTATTTATTTTTTAAAGTTTATTTATTTTTGAGAGAGAGAGAGACAGAGCACTAGTGGGGGAGGGGCAGAGAAAGAGAAGGAGAGAGAGAGAGAGAAACACACACACAGAATCCGAAGCAGGCTCCAGGCTCCTAGCTGTCAGCACAGAGCCCGACGCAGGGCTCAAACTCATGAGCCATGAGATCATGACCTGAGTCGAAGTCAGACACTTAACTGACTGAGCCACCCAGGCACCCCCCCAAAGGTTTATTTTTAAAACTATGCTATGAAGTAGACACTATTTGCTCCAATTCGAGAGGAGCACTAGGTTCGAGAGGAGCACTAGGTTATAGAGGTCCTGTGACTCGTTCAAGGTCACGTAGCTATGTGGCTCCCTGAGGATCAAGCCCAGCCCTTCTGACTCCAGGGTATTTTGTACCCAACTACTTTGTACTCAACTCTGTCAATACCCATGGAAATGATGTGCTAGACCAAATGAACCTAACTTGCGGTTCCCTATTTGGTTGGATTAATTTAAATAACAGACTATAGTTGAGAGACCCAAAGGTGAAAGTCTCAGCGCTTTAAAAAAAAAAAAAAAAAGTTTTGCCCTATCTCTAAATTAAAACATCCCAACTCTTCCTTCTTAATCCTGCTACTCCTGATGGATCTCCAGGCCAGTCATATGCAGCCTTGGTCTGGCACACCCTACAGCAGTCTGTTTTCATGCCTTGCTATGATCTCACATACTCAGCAAAGTGCAGGCTCTCGATGCAGAGTGTCCGGGTTCAAATACTGCCTGTACACTTTGACTTCAGAGTTTTCTCCTCTGTAAAACGGGGATGATAATACACCTACCTCAAAGGGTTGTTGTGAGGGTTAAGCTCATTAATGTATGGTAAGTGATCAAAAATGTTAGCTGCTATTGTCTTTGTATAGCTAGAGATATTTACATGTAGGATTCTGGCATTGATCTTTTTCTGAAAAGATTGTTGGTAATCTGGAAAGTGTCTGTGAGGAAAGTGTTCAGTGAAATTGATAAAATGATGCTGAACAGGGGCGTCTGGGTAGCTCAGTCGGTTAAGCATCCGACTCTCGATTTCAGCTCAGGTCATGATCTCTCTGTTTGCCAGTTCAAGCCCTGCGTCAGGGTCTGTGCTGACAGTGCAGAGCCTACTTGGGATTCTCTCTCTCCCTCTCTTTCTACTCCTCCCCTGCTCAAGCTCTCTCTAAATAAACATTAAAAAAAATGATGATGAATATAGTTCATAGATCACTGGCACTCAGTAATTTCCGGAATAATATCTTTCTTTTTCTCTGACACCCTTCTTATCTCCCTTATTGTTTTTCTCCTCTCCATCTAAGTCGTCTATAACTGGTCTATAACTTGAATATAGCATTTCATATATTGTATTGGCATTTATTTAATTATGTGCATTCCCCACAGAATGTTTTCAGCACCTAGCAGGGTGCAGGAATGTCCGGGGAAGCTTGTGGAACTAACGTGATCGTGATCTCGGCCTCACTTCCTGTTTGGGCCTTGTCTCCATCTTCCATCTGCACAACCTCACCTGTCTTTATACTTGCCCATCTTCTCTGACCTTCTCACTTCACCTGAGTGGTGTGGCAAATCACAGATGTGTTCCTGTGGGGCAGAAGAACCAGATAGAGCATGAAGGCCTTCCTCAGTGATCAGAACACTGAGGCTGAGCTGCCGTTTGACTTTGGGAAGCATCTTCCTGTCCTTGGCAGAATGACAGGCCTCTAGCTTTTCCTTCCTATTAGAGGCTTCCAGCCCTTGTGTGTTTTGTTTTCCTTTTCAAGTATTGTCTGCAGTCACCATGGGTAAACTTTTTTCCCTGTGTGGAACTTATCTTCTATCTCTCCTACACTTGATGCTTCAATCCTGCCTTATTATCTTGAACTCATGTTTTAATCTCCTAGATGCACTGGCAAGGAAGAGCCTGGCTTCTTTGTGTGACCTTGAGCAAATTACATGACATCTCTGAATTTGTTTCCTTATCTGTCAAATGGATAACGCTTACCTGCCTCCCTCCGGTGGTTGTTATGAGACTCAAGTGAGATAATGGGTCATACAGACATGTATACAAATAAACAGAAGAAGGAATAGAAAGGGTTACTCCTCTGTCATCTCATTGCCTGTGTCGGTGTGTTTCTTTAATTATGGACTGTGGGTTCTAGGCAATCTGTGCTTTTCCAGATCTTCCTGATGCACGCTGGAATTGAAAACCTCCAACTGCCATGTATTCTTAGTTGCTGTTTTGTGTTCGGTTCAGCTGCTTGCCGAATATTCTCTAAATCCCACCCTCCAGGGCCTTTGCTTTTGTAGCCTAGCTTCGTCTTTGCTTCTCGTGTTCCTACCGTGTATCGTGCTATAGAAATTGCTTATCCTTGCATGGTGACCAGATGGCTTCAACATTGCTTGCACACATAATATATTCTTTAAAAAATATTTTGAGTATTCTCCTTGGGTTTTAGAGCTGTAGAAAGCAAGGCTAGGAAGGATTTTTTTTTCCCCTTTCCCTTTTTTCTTAGTAGCTTCCCTAATAAAACATGCTGCCAGTTAAGTGTTCAGCACAGATTGCTAACTGTAGATATAGAAGTATAGATTATTTCATAAATAAATTTGTTACAAGTCTGACTTTTCCCCAGTGGATTTCTATTTAATTTGGGCAGGAAAAAACCCTGAGTTTGTTAGCACCTGACACTAATATATATGACATAGTCTATTCATACACATTTCTCAGAGCACGTTACAGTTGGAATTACTTTTTTATATCTTCAGCTGCTAATCCCATTTATGTGGAGTAGAAAGATTGATAGTATGTTGTGGATTTTCCTCCTCCTCCCCAAGTGATTAAAGTCTGAATGCTTTAACCACCATGAATATAAGGAAGTGTTTCCTTGGTATAGCTGTAAAATTGTTTTTAATTTCTGAGATTTTGTGTCTTCATTAAACAAGTAGTTAAGATAACTTCTCTGTGCTTTAAATGAGGTTCGAGTAATTAAAATTTTCTGATCATAGCAAATTCAGCACTCTTCAGTGTATATTAGTTACACACTAATACCAATATTAGTATTAGTATATGCAGAACTCTTGAGTACTTGTGGAGAAAGATTAAAGTTGATATTCGGATTTTTATTCAATGAGCTTGAGTCCGTCTACAAATACTTAATTCATCACCAGGACTTTTTATTTTAGAAACTGTATTTCCTAAAAATGTTTACTACCTTCTTAATGCTTTCCAGGAACCGGATCCTGAATTGCCAGTGACTCAGGTAAAGGGTTAGCTGCAACTGTTAGTTTAGAGAATACAATAATTCCTGTTGCTTACTCGTTCCTATAGATTAGAAAACCTGCTGCATATCTATTAATGCTTTTATAAAATCAGCCTTCTCTACCATTCTGTAGAGTATTCTATTTCCAATATTTTTTTTGTAGAGTATTTTTTTTTTTTATGTATTCTATTTCCAATATTTTTGTGTCTATGGGTGAGTAGTCTTATAGTCTTAAGACTTGAAATGACCAATGTTGACCAGAAAGATGAGAAAAATAGAGAAGGAAGCAAGGGAAACCAGGAGCTTAGGAATGGGGCCAAGAAGTCAGCAGAGCCCCAAATGTCTGAAAAGATTGTGATGGACAGGATGGTATATCTTGAGTAAAGAGTAGGCTCACCCTGCCTGGGAAGGGCTCGATTTTAGAGCGAGGTGCCTGCCACCGTGAAGAAGACAGGAGGAGACACTGGCCAGATAGCCTTGTCTACCAAACTATCTTGGTTGGAGATGGGAGGTGGCCAGAGAGACCTGCTAACTGGAGAGGATGCAGTGAATGAGTCTGGAGAGAGCCCAAGGAGAGGAAGTGTGGTTAGGGGGACACGTGGGCCAGTGAAGCTGTTAACACAAGGGAGTTTCCAGTAAGTCTGGGAATAAGAACGGATGAGAGTGCTATAAATCACCCTAAATATTGCCAGGTGTTGGCCCTGTCACATGAGAGAGAATGCTAACAGTGGTTTTCAGTAAATAAACAATTTGAACCTCATATGTGGTTCCTATGACCTTTTCCAAGAGAGCAGAATACAAAGTACTGTGATGGAGGCCTGTGTAGTATTATCAAGCAAGCACCGTAAATAGGTTAAAATGAAGCACTCTGTTCTTGAAAAGGATTTTAAAGGAATTTGTCTGCAGTGTTCGTAATTTTGATTTCCAAATTGATAGATGGCACTAAACTATTTTTTGCGTAATATATGCACAATTCGTTTGAGAAGGACCTAAATTATAAATAGAGTAAGTAATGTGCTTTTTCTTTTCAGTGATTTTGGAAGGTTTTGTTAAAATTAACGTTTATTTATTTTTGAGAGAGAGAGAGAGAGAGAGAGAGAGAGAGAGAGAGAGAGAGAGTGTGAGTGAAGGCAGGGGAGGCGCAGAGAGAGGGAGACACAGAAGCTGAAACAGGCTCCAGGCTCCAAGCTGTCAGCACAGAGCCCGATGCGGGACTCGAACTCACAAACTGTGAGATCATGACCTGAGCTGAAGTCGAATGCTTAACCAACTAAGCCACCCAGGTGCCCTGGTTTTGTTAAAATTAAATTAAAATGTCAATAATTGACATTGTTGTTATGGTTTTAAAACTGTAAATGGCATTTGAAAGTTTCAAACCATGCAGGGACTTCATGAAGGACCTGTATTTAGTATTACTTTCTTGTTCTGTTACTGTAGACTTCATTATCTATCACTATCTGGATAGTGATCTAAAAGAATAAAAAGGGAACAAGGCTGATGGGATTCTTTTGAGTTCATTATTCATACATTTTGCCTTCCTCTTTTGCACAACTTCAAAATAAATGAGGCTTTACAATAACAATTCAATATTTTGTGCTAAGTTTTCATTTTCGTAGAGTAGGCAGAGTGTCAGATGTTATACCGATTCTTATGATGGCTCGCTCAGGTTAGACAGACTGTTCCTTGGTAGCTTTATTCAACTAATAATCTAGCAAAATTGTTTCTTTTATGTCTTAAACTCTTGGCCTCCAATTCTGTATTAAAAGGAATGAGACAATTTCAACATGGTTTGCTCAGTCAGTAGACTTTTTCACTTTTCGTATGTTTATTTTCATAACTAAAATTGAATCAACCTCACCAAAGGTAGTACAAGTAAGGCATTATTTTCCTTTCCTTTCCATCATTGCCTCAAGAATAATGTCCTGTAGACTACCTCAGTAGGTGAATGAGATGGGATTATGTTTTACAGATAAAGAACGATATAACTGACTCACATGCTTTTCCCTTTAAAAAAGTTCCTGCACTTCTGTGATTTTTGTTGATTTCACAGTACTTTCCAATATATAGGCATTCAAATATATTTACATAAACTGCATGACCCTGTCATGTAGTAACAACTTAAACATATTTAATAAAACCAATTTGTATTTTTCTTTTAGATTCAAGGACCAGTTTGGGATCATCCCATTGTGCTTTGTTATGCATTTTAATGTAATCACTGGTTAGTTTTGAACTTTTTGAAAAACTTAAACAGGATTTTAGGGCTGTAAAACATACTTGGCTTGTTTCCAAAATAAAATTAAAAAAAATTTTTTTTAAAGCCAAAGCCCCATCTGCTGTTTTCATTAAAATCTCAAGAATTGTTCACATTGCCAAGAGCAGTTCTTTGAATACAATCTGATGTTTAAGCAAGCAGCGATATGTGATTTTCAAGGTCATTTGTGTTAGGACAAGAGGAAAGTCAGGAAGATTAGTATTCTCAAAAAATGATGAAATTTAAAATTAAATAATAGTTTAAGTAGATTTTATTATAGATCTTTAAATATAAAAGATTCCCACCATGATTTCTACTTCTGAAGAATTAAATTTTAGAAACTGAAATATAGATCCATTTACCTTTTTGAAAAAGTGAAATCTTATAGAATAACCTTTTAAAAAAGATGTTCCTATTTGGCTTCTGAAGCATTTATTCATTTGGTGGTGAGGGAAAAGTAGATTTACTTTCTTTTCTTTTACTTAGCCTAATATTAAAAAAATTTGCACCTCCGTAATATCTGAGAGGTTAGTAGGAGGCTGGATGTCAGGAAGAATGATGGAGTTAACTATGAGATAACGGTATGTACGTGCTAATTATTAAAAAGATATGTGCAGGGATAGTTAATACCCAGCCATATAGGTGATACGATAATAATAAAAAGTTGACTTTTAGAAGGTCGATTTAACTAGGATTCCAAGTTGGAGTTTTAAAGTTTCATTAGCTCATCATCAGGATAAAAGTCCCTACACCTCACTGGAGCATACAGGGTCCCTCAACTGCCCTTTGCCTTTTTTCTCTAGCTTCTTCTCTGACTGCTGCCTCAGCTGAACCTGATTCTTCAACCGTACTCAACTGTTTTGGAGTTACCAAGCATGCCTTGAGCCCTCAAGCTAGCCTGCCCTTGTCCCTTTCTCTTGGCCTAATACATGCTTTCCTGTCTTTGCCACTAGCAAACTCTTTTCTCCTACCCTTCCTCTACTCCCAGGCAGCTGGGTGCCTCTCTCTGTACTGCCGTAGCATGCTCCCGACTTTTATCACTGCGCTTTCCCTACAACACCGAAATTTGTGTAAGCTAGTTGAGCCGTGGCTTACTTCTCTCTGTCCCCAGGACCTGGCATGCCATAGGTGCTCCCTAGTAATATGGGAGTGAACCGGTGGCACCCATATCCTGCTTTACTGTTTCAAAGAAAATGCTGCAATCCTTCCTGTCCATCAGCATGCTGAGCAAGGAATGCCCTTTTGAGAAATGAAAGCTGTCAGATCCTTGCAGGGCAGTATGAGCTGTGGAGACTCAAGATAAATCAGAATTACTTATTTCCATCTTTGAAGTTAAATTAAACCATGAGTTGAAGCCAGAGATGACTTCCCTGGCCCCTGAGCAGAGTTATAAAGATCTGCCGACCTTCCTGATCTTTGATGAATGAAAACCTCCAATTGTTTCCACACTTTAGTGGCTCTTACAGTTAGATGCAGTTACAACTGGAATTTATCTATCTATCTATCTATCTATTTATTTATTTATTTAACAAATGAATTCTTTGATTCCATATTCTGCTTATTCAGTTATGTTAAATCCACACAGTTGAAACATTTTAAGTTATCTGAATCCAGTAAATCTCATCCAGGAAAGTAGAAGCTAAAAAAACCCAATCATCTAACCAAATATAATTTCATTTTAGGAACGTACGGCTATGAAGGCAGCCTTTTTTATTACCATTAAAGTGAAAGCATGAAGAATTTCCTTTTCCTTAAGAACTTTTGTCTAATGCATGCATTCCAGTTATTTTAGCCCACAAAAGGATCTCTACTTTTTAATTCCTATAAAACTATTGTCTATACCACACACCTGCCACCTAGCATGCCCTACTTTGCCTTGTCAATTAATTCAGTAGGTGATGTGTTCAGGGAAATTAGGATCCAAGTTTTAATCTTCTCATGCTTCCTCTTCAGAACCTAGCCCAATGCTATGTAACTAGGAAGTGCTCCATAGGTATGGACCGACTGATTGAATGCATCTTGGGTTCTTTACGCGAGGACTTTCTCTGTAGCTCTCGTCTGTTCCTCTCTCAGTCTGTTCTTCCTTCAGCGGCTTCACAGCCGGTTCCCTAGTATGGTGAGCCCTACCCTGCCTCCCACCAAACTTCCCTCGCTGCTGCTTCCTCTGCACTATAGAGTATCAGGTCTGTGCTGCTGCTCAAGGACACCGGGCTTTCTTGTTCTCTGCTTCTGTTCTGTAGTGAAGCAGAAAGGTAAACATTTCTGATAAAGCTGTTTTAAATGTTGAGCAAGATATTTTTTTTTTTCAACGTTTTTATTTATTTATGGGACAGACAGAGACAGAGCATGAACGGGGGAGGGGCAGAGAGAGAGGGAGACACAGAATCAGAAACAGGCTCCGAGCCATCAGCCCAGAGCCTGACGCAGGGCTCGAACTCACGGACCGTGAGATCATGACCTGGCTGAAGTCGGACGCTTAACCGACTGCGCCACCCAGGCGCCCCTAAATGTTGAGCAAGATATTTAATGGTGCATACCTTGACATCTAATTTCTCAAGGTAGAGTGAAGTTGATATTTTCCAGATTCCTTAATTACCTTTTCCATTCCCCGCCCCCCCCCCCCCCAACCATTTTCTAGCAGGTTTTCTACTGGCTAGATCACAAAGCAGCCAAGACTGTGTTGATTAGCTTCTTGGGAATTGGGAGAAATTGCTCTTAGTTCAATTCAACATTTTTGGAATACCTATTATGTGCAAAAACCATAGGTGTTATGGAAAATTCAGAACTGAACAAGGTAAAAAGGCTTGTGTTTTGGGGAAGGGAGCTAACCTATGCCTGATGATTACAGTGTTTCTCGAATATGTGAGTACATTTGATGGAAGTGTAAAGAGAATGCTCTGTGAGAAAGACAAGAGGAAAGTAGGTTTAGAACTAAACCATCAGGGAGGTCTTCATGAGGGACTTTGGTCCTGAAGGAGGAAGGCAGAAAGAGCACTGTGGTCAGAGCTTTCTTGATTGATTTTTGAATTATTATTCCAGTAAAATTTTCTCTGAAGTTCTTCTTTTACTTACAAAAAGGCATGTTAGAAGACTACTAGGTAATTGATCTAATGGGCATTTCTTGATTAGTAATGACCTTGCCTTGTATTAGTTTCTTGAAATAGCTCTTTAAATTAGCATAATGTATTAAACGGTAAACATGCCTAATAAAATTTAGACGATAATAAATCTTCTATAGGCTAGGCAGTACTTCTAATACTACTTAATGTGTGCTTTATTTTATCCATGTTTATAGGCAGCTTGGATTTTGAAGGCACGGGCACTCACTGAAATGGTATATGTAGATGAAATTGACGTGGATCAGGAAGGAATTGCAGAAATGATGCTGGATGAAAATGCTATTGCTCAAGTTCCACGTAAGTATTGGTTTTTCACTTAAGTAAATGAAATGCCATTAGGAGGAAGAATACTACATGTGTATAAAATAAACACAAGACATTATATACATGAAAAAAACACTGCTTCAGGTTAATGGTCTCTATCCTGTCATATAGTACAAAGACTTTCCTTCCACAATTCAATTACCCTATCTTAAACTTAAGATGTGGGATTGCTGTATAAAACAATTTTTCAATACAAGCTATATTATGCATTTAAACAGATTTTATATTTAAAATGGATTCTAGCTGAACTGGTTATCTAATATAACAGAAAATTGTTTATCCGAGAGTCGAAACACAGGAAGCATCCAAACAACTCAAGTCTTCTAAAAGGATTAAAAAAAAAAAGGATCTTTGGACAACATCACTTCACTGTAATAATTGAAGGTGATTTGCTCTAATGCTTGATATGAGGTGATGGGGTAATACACTGGCCTGTGAATGCCCACTGGGATTGCCGCAGAGGCCCAGCCCCCAGCTTGCAGATGTGTTGGAGCAAATGGTATTTAGTGATTACCGTAATGTATGGTGGTCTTGCTGGTATTTATTAGTTATAACTGTTGTCAGTCATTTTTATGTTTTGAAAAATAATAAATTAAAAATATTTTTTAATGTTCATTTTTGAGAGAGAGAGAGACAAAATGCAAGTAGGGGAGGGGCTGAGAGAGAGGGAGACAGAGTCTGAAGCAGGTTCCAAGCTCTAAGCTGTTAGCACACAGCCCGATTTGGGGCCCAAACCCACAAACTGCGAGATCGTGACCTGAGCTGAAGTCGGACACTTCACTGATTGAGCCACCCAGGTGCCCCAAGATAATAACTGTTTTAAAGCTTCAAATGGAAATTGAGGAAAAAAAATACATATGGTTCATGCTAAAATTCCTTTTTCCCCCCATCATTTTGTTCTTTTGGAGTTAAAATGTCTAAATTCTATATATTGTGGGTACATGATCTTTTGTTGGGAGAAGTTTGTATCAGAAATACACTATGAGCATAGAACCATCTTTGGGTGCTCTGGAGTCTGCCAGCCTTGAGTTTGAAACCCACCTCTATTAATAGGTTGACCTGTTTACTAAACCCTCTAAGCTTTTGCTAAATGGATGAATACAGCCTACCTTACAGACTTAGTGTGAAGATTAAATGTAAGAACATAAAATACCATGATTTTTAATAAATATCAGTCTCAAACACCTTTCCCTAATATATTTCCTGTCATTAACGTCTTTTTCACCAGGCCGGCACATTTCTGAAAATTACAACAGCTGACAGTTTTTACAGATTAATAACTAATCTATAAATTGAATTTGCCATCTCATGTCGTAGGCCCGGGAACATCCTTGAAACTGCCTGGAACTAATCAGACAGGAGGGCCTAGTCCAGCCATCAGGTATGTACTTCTGTTTCATACCTTCTGCCATTAAATACTGACCAGATTGTATGAGAATCTTCCCTTATTGATCTTCTTGGTATTTTCACAATGTACACTCTTCACAGGCCAATCACTCAAGCTGGAAGGCCCATTACAGGTTTCCTTAGACCCAGCACACAGAGCGGAAGGCCTGGCACTATGGAACAGGCCATCAGAACACCTAGAACTGCCTACACAGCTCGCCCAGTCACCAGCACAACTGGAAGATTTGTCAGGCTGGGAACGGTAACTTGTGTCAGCTTTATCCTATCTTTGTATTACCAGAGTAGCTTGGTGTTACGTTATGTCTTTTTTTTGCTGTTGTTATAGTGGAAAGTCACATGGCAGATTTTTTGAAGGTGGTTCTTTTTACTTATGCTCATTACACTCAATTTATATTTCCAGAGGGAGTTTCAGATTTCTTGTTCTGTCATTTTTCCCCATAGGCTTCCATGCTTACAAGTCCTGATGGACCTTTTATAAATTTATCTAGACTGAATTTAACAAAATATGCCCAGAAACCTAAATTGGCAAAGGTATGTACTTAAAATGATTTTATGTTATGAAGTAGTAATGTTAGATATGTTATCCTGATAACATTGTAGGAAATAAAAAAAATTTCTTTTGTGAAGGAAAGGCCATATCTTGCTTGAAATGGAAATGTTTAATTACTGTGTAAAATTCCTCTTAGTCTTTTGAGTTAAGGAAAGTCAATCAGAAATAAAGTATACAATACCATTGCATAGGAAATTGTAGTCACTTATAACAAAAAATAGTAATTGATAACAAAGCAGACAAGCAGCATCATCTTCATGGAATGAAATTTAGAAGGTCATCTGTGTGTGTGTGTGTGTGTGTGTGTGTGTGTGTGTGTGTGTGTGTGTTTTCCTTTTCCCTCTTGGACTATTCTCAGAAAAATAATTTTCTATCCTTGTAGAATTTTACGACTGTCAAAAAGAAGATGAAAAAAATATGTTCGTTTAATTACTAATTAAGCAAGCATCTCCATAAGCTATTGTCTGGCTTGAGTGATCCTCATTGAGAATTACCTTACTAATTCTAACTACTCAAAGATTAGATGCTCCTTTATGTTAAGGAGAAAGGGAGAGTGAAAGTAAGTGTGTGTATGTGTGAGAGTGAGAAAAAGAGAGACTGAGAGGGAAAGGTGGGGCCCGTGACCTTTCTAGTGTAAAAATAAACTTGAAGTTGAGCTTGGAATAATTCAGAGACATGAGCACTTAGCTGTTGCTGAAACTGGTCTAACCCTAGCTCAAGCTTTTAGCTGTAATGTCTGTGAATTCTATGCATCAGTGCTGAGCTCATTCTGAATCTGAATTCTAATGGCATTTAACATGTTTACTAAATGTCAAACACGAGGTTATATAAGAATGGACATGAGCCATACAGACTTGAAATTAAAAGCTGAAAAAGAAATGTCAGTTGATAGGGAATTAGCCTATAATAATGCCCATGATGTTTTAATTTCTCAGTTGACAGCAATCCTGTCAACTTCATTTAGCAAAATTGTAAAGCTATGTGTATTTCCCTTACCTTCACGAGAGTGAAGTATTAACAGCAACTCATATGGAGTATCCAGTTCCCCTGCCCTTTTCGGCCATTTATTTGAGGTGGCTGGATGGCTGGTTGGTACCATTGCTGTTTTCTATTCAGGGAGTGTAGCCCATGGAGGCATCTCCCTCAAACTATGATGCTTCCAGGACAGACCTGGTCTGTTACTAGATTTAAACTGAATCAGATTTTGTGCTTTTTTATAGAAGTAATGCCAGGGTTTTTTTCTGTCTTTGGTTTCCAATTTGCCTTTACTCATCAAGACTCATTTCTAGCATTGATTGCTTGAGTCTCTACTCCTTTCATAGCAACGGGAGCACAAGCTGTACTCTTAACTTTTCTTCTTTATCACCGAGCGAATGGAGGGTCAGGTATAGTTTTTAAAAGAAGGGCCTTGTCCTGATTTCTTTTTTCTTCCTTTGGTTGCCTCTTAAGTCTTCTTTGTTAATAACCTTGATACGCTAAGCTCTTTGCAAGGGTACATTGATGGTTTTATGGACAAACATGATACCACTAAGAGGTAATTTGGTCAATGCTTATTTATCCAGATGAGCTGGGAGAAGTATTAAAATAATGGTTCTCAGACCTAGCTGCACATTAGAGTCATGTACACATCCCACTTTACGCCTAAGATCTACTTTGTTTCAGAAGGAATTTCCGGATTTTTCCCATGTCTAAAGTGTCATTATCATTATCATAATGACTGTATAACATGTGCAGAGTGTATAAAAAAATGGGCTGAATCTGTTTTAGGATAATCTCAGAGTTGGTCTTTTCATCTCTCTTTGTAGTAAAATAGTGCATATAATACGAAAAACCTTGTTCAGTTATTTCAGTTTTCCAGTTTGTAAAAACAAGAATCAAGTATAAATCACTGTATTTTAAAATGCTGATTATAACAAATGATGGATAGACCCTTTACTTATGAAGACACGTTTAGTGTACCTGTTATTTTGGTTCAACCCAGCTGCTGTCAAAATGGTCTGAGTATATCCGTATCAGATATACCAATAGAGTGCTTTTGGTAAAATAAAATCTAATGTATTTTTGGCTTTTTTTTTTCTTCATAGGCTTTGTTTGAATATATCTTTCATCATGAAAATGATGTTAAGACTGTAAGTTTTGAATTCATGCTCTTTTATTGTAATTTTTCTGACTTTGGGGATTTCAACTCTGAAATGTTCTATTTCTGACCTTATAAACAGACGGAATTATTAAAAATTGGAGCATTACTAATACTTTCAAATCCACTGTTATTTTCAATAGGAAAAGTTGTATAAATATAGAAGAGGTAAGAACTGTGCCTGGTCCATAGACTACATAGATTTCCACTAAAAAGCAAGATATAGATAGTTGAGAATATTGTATAATGTGCTTTTGCTACAGTTTATTTTTTATACTAATAGCGTTATTGATCCATTTTTTTCTGTAGTCCATATAGTGAATTATAGGTTTATTAATATGTGTATTTCTGTTTTTTTGTAGCACGCCCCTTATCCCTCCTTTAACATTTTATGATAGAAAAATTCAAACACACAAGTGCAGAGAATAATATAATGAGCCAGTATCACCCATCACCCAGCTTCAATAATACTTAAACATCTTTGTAGTCTCTTAACAGACTTTTAAGGTTATATGCATAGGACTTCTTCATTTATAAAAAGTTTTTTTTTTTTTTTTTAACGTTCATTTATTTTAAGAGAGACAGAGCATGAGCAGGGAAGGGGCTGAGAGAGAGGAAGACAGAGAATCCGAAGCAGGCTCCATGGTCCAAGCTGTCAGCACAGAGCCCAATGTGGGGCTCATGAACCATGAGATCATGACCTAAGCTGAAGTCAGACACTTAACTGAATGAGGCACCCAGGCGCCCCCTCACTTTTTACATGCTAATATGCAAATGACCAGTAACTTCACAAATTTTGTCAAATTGAACGTAATTAATTCTGCAGTGTCTAATGATAGTACTTTCCCTCATTTTCTTATTAGTTTAGGGAAAAAGCTTTATATGCATATGTTAAATATTCAGGGAAATAAAAACGTTTTCCTCAGTTGTGTTTTCTGTGTGTCAACCACAATGCCATATACTAGGAAAACTAATAAAAATATATTTTTTCCTGACTCTATCAGGCATGCAGTCCAGCTGAGAAAATAAAATTGGCATAATGAGGCAATTAAAGAGGTACTTGCCAAGCTGTGAAACTGTCACCAGGTAGCAAAGGGAAAAAAAAATTCAAAAGGGTGATATTAGTAAAGATCCACAAAGTAAGTCAGATTTTTGGGAAGGAGGGGAGATAAACGTAAAGAAAGGGTTAAAAACACGAGCAAGATATGGGGTGAGAAATAAATAGGCCAGATAGTAAGAAGTGGGAGCATCAGAGAGACATTTTTAAAGAAAGCAGTGGCAGAACTTGATGATAGATTTGATGTGGAGGACAGAGGAAAGAAACATGTCAAATCTGTCTCCTAAAGATGCTACAAGAAGAATGATTGCTTTACTAACAGAAATGGGATAATTAGGGAAGGAAGTCAGTTTCTAAGGAAGCTGGGTAATGCACTTGAAGGCATTTGTAGTTTGAAACTATGACAGGCTATCCAAGTGCAGATACTTGCATGTACTGGAAGATGTGGTACTAAATGTAGGTGAGAGCCTAGGCCCAATACACAGAATGTAGAAGTTGTCTGTGATGAGTGCTAGTGGACGTGGCCACGTAGGGAAGAGAGGAAGCTAAGGTTGGAGCAGAAATCATGCACATTTCTGTAAATAAGTCAGTACACGCCTTTTTCACTTCATGTAAAGCTGGTCAGAGTCACAGTATGACATGTAAAATCATAGAGTTATACCGTCATTATAAAGAAACCTCCAAACACCATTCCTATTCATAAATGAGTCAATATCTATATAACATAAAGCTGTATCTTGACTTTTGGAGGATTTATTTATTGAAGAGACCTTTGTTCTTTCATCCCCAAATTTCTGAGCCACCGTGGTGTGCCAGGCCCTGATCTAGCCCTGAGATTACAGAGTGAAGCAAGCAGACAAAAATCTCTGCTCTTTTGGAGGTTATATTCTGGTTGTGCAAGGAATAGAGATAATTAGCACATTTAGAAACACGTAACATGTCATGGGATAGTAAGTACTACAGAAGTGAAAGAACAGGGAAGCGAATACAGTGACATGGGGGAAGATGCCATTTTGGATGGGGTGGGAGGTGGTCAGTGAAATCCACTCTGAAAACACACTTAATCGGAGACCTGATGGTGGGGGGCAGACCGTGCAGTTCTGTGTAGGAAGAATATGTAAGTCAGAGAGAATAACCGCAAAAACCCTGAGTGGGAGCATGCGTGGGTTGTTCGAGGAGCAGGAAGGAGGCAAGGGTGGCTGTAGTGAGGTCTGTGAGGGGAGGAGTTGTAGACCATGGGTTCAGAAAGACAGATCGTATGCTGTTTGGAGATCACAGGGATGACGGCTTTATCAATACATTCATCTCAAGGATGTCATTCTACATCTTGGCATTGATATAATGGCGTTGAGGAATAGGAGCCACAGTGAAATAAAATAGGATTTATTCTCTGCACTAACTGAGCTTCTCTTCTAAAGATCCTAAGGATCTTAAAGACTCTAAAGATTCTAACAGACTTTAACCTTTACGTATGATGTATTATATAGAATGCTTTCACAGTTCTTCATATTCATTGATTAAAAACATTTGATCTTAAACAGAGCAGCGACTTTCAAATTTTTTATTTAAACAGCACAAACCTTTTTCTTCAAACAAAACCTTATCCAGACCCTGCTGTAGAAAACAGACAAAAAGCAGGGCTGCAGGAGTTCAAGCAGAAGTAACAGACCAAGAATACACCCACTGGGCCACCTCCTTACTCCTCCACTCTCTGAGCTCCTGCCCCTCAAATCCTAGGGCTCTTAAGTAGTTCCTAAATCCAGCTGTTTCTGAATCACTTGGTGAATTTCATTTATTTTACTTATTAAAAAAGATTTTTTTAACATTTATTTATTTTTGAGAGAGAGAGACAGAGTGTGAGTAGGGAAGGGGCAGAAGAGAAACGGAGACACAGAATCAGAAGCAAGCTCCAGGCTCTGAGCAGTCAGCACAGAGCCTGGTGTGGGACTTAAACTCATGGACCACAAGGTCGTGACCTGAGCTGAAGTCAGACGCTTAACCAGCTGACCCACCCAGGCACTGCTCACCTGGTGAATTTTAATGTCATGGATTTCTGGATCCCTGCTAGACTTCCTGAATCAGAATCCCCACGAGTATGTCTGGTCAATCTGTTGTTTGTAAAAGCTCCACAGGCAATGCTAGTTTTCAGCCAGGATTGGGGACTACTGCTGAAGAATGTAGCTTGAAAGGCGATGATTAATAGAAGGCTGGGGGGGCACCTGGGTGGCTCAGTCGGTTAAGCATCTGACATTGGCTCAGGTCATGATCTCGTGCTTTGTGAGTCGGAGCCCTGTGTCGGGCTCTGTGCTGACAGCTCAGAGCCTAGAGCCTGCTTTGGATTCTGTGTCTCCTCCTCTCTGTCCCCTGCTCATGCTGTGTGTGTCTCTCTCTCTCAAAAATAAATAAACATTTAAAAAATTAAAAATCGAAGGCTGGAATGCTAGGCCTCCTAGTGTAGGCAAATAGAGCTGGGAGCATGAACAGGATTTGAGGACCAGAGCTTGATAAACAAATAGGAGGGTGTGTGTCTCCTAGCTCAATGAAGGAAGTCCATAAATTAAGAGAAAAAGCACAGCAAAAATGACTCTCAAATAGATCTCAGTAGCAAGGAAGTAATACAAACTACTGTTGAGAGCTGGAGTCCCCACTTACAAATTTTATATTTTTATTTTTTTAAAAAAATTTTTTTAAAAAATATTTGTTTTTGAGGAAGATAAAGAGCACAAACCAGGGACGAGCAGATAGAGAGGAATACTCAGAATCCGAAGCAGGCTCCAGGCTCTGGGCTGTCAGCCCAGAGCCCGATGTGGGGCTTGAACCCACGAGCTGGGAGATTATGACCTGAGCAGAAGCTGAACGCTTAACCGACTGAGCCACCCAGGTGCCCCTGTATTTTTATTCTTAAGAACAGCGAAAGACTCAATACTCTAGAAACAAGCAACATTGAGCACAATTTTTTACTTTTTTTGGAAACAGATCCTTATGCTTCATTAAACAACACTGTTGAGAAAATTTGTTTAAAGACTTTCTTTTAGACATTTGACTAGTGAAGAATGAAAAATAATTTAAACTAGCAAACAATAGAGACTTATGGATTCATATATATCTGATTCATATATATCTCAGTATATATTCATATACTGACTTACATATATCTCTGCACAGTGAACAGAAACAAAACCAAACAAATGTAAAAGGACAACAGAAGGATGAAATATGTACATAAGCATGATTTTAAAATGTTAGTGTTTGTTAAATAGGAAAAAGCTTATCTAAATTTGTTAGGAAATTTTTTGTGGAAATGGAAATGATCCAGTGACAGAAAATTGACATTAGAGAAAATGCCAGTAAACAAGCACACTAGAGATGCACTTTCTAACACAAAAAAGTAACTTAAAGAATTTGGACTTTCAATTTCACATTTCTGAAATTTGAAAAAAAAAATTCTGGGAAAGAGTGGAGTAAATTGTTACCCTGATATAGATGATATTTTAAATGGTACAATAATTTGGAAAAGAGTATGGTAATATAAAACAGAATAAGATAACATATTCCTATTGTGTATGTAATTTTAACTTTTTTTTTTTTTTTGTAATTTTAACTTCTTAAGAAATTTCACACGTGCTCTATTTGCAGATGTTCATTGTAGCATTAGCCGTAGTAACTAAGCAATCCGGATTAACAACCTAAGTTACACTACACTGCATCCTAGCGTTTTATGCAGCCATTAAAAAAATCATAATTACAAAACTCGGGCAGAAACAGAAAAGTGTTTATAACGTTAAGCCCACAGAATATAACATTTAGTACGTATGTTAAATAGTTATTAGTCTAAATATATACTATAACATATGCTAGAAGGTATTACCAAAAAGAAAAAAAAAGGAAATAAAAGTATTATAGAACTAAGGTGTGTTAATTCTACAGATATTTGTTAAATGCCTCCATGGTGCCAACGGTAAATTGAAAAGAGTACGACAGTAAATTGAAAAACTATACCTTGTAGCAGTAATGGAAAGTATCCAGTTTTACCAAAACTTTATCCAATTTTTTCCAAAATTTTCAATAATGTTATAGTAACTTTTCATTTATATGTTTAGCTATAAATTAGGGGCAGTCATAAAATAAAATATTTGTAATTAATTATATCCTGCTTGTTATTTTCATCTGCTTACCCTCAATACATATATTTTATAGAACATGAAATTAAGAAATTTTTGTTTTTATTTTGCGAAAAGCACAAATTGTTGGTTCCTCTGTTTTCCTTTTTATTCATGAATTTATTGATTGGTTTATTTCTCGACTGGGTTATTCTTGAAACAAATAATTATTGGGTACTGTGACGGATGTGAGGAGGATCGAGCAGGACAGATGCCCCGTTTCTGTTTTCTTACTCTGTTATGGACTCATTGCATTATAGTTCTGCTATGGATCAGACTGTCCCATTAAGATGTCATTTTAGATTTTTATCACAAATGTTATTTTCTGAAAGGAAGAAGGATTTAGGTAATGAGCAGAAAGCATGCATTTTCATGCCTTTTTTCCACAAACTCTGTTTTATGAGATTATCTGGAAAAAGAAAAGAGGATTTTTTTTTTTTTTTTAACATTCTTAAGAAATCAGAGGTGCTTTTATACTGGTTACTTTGGGTGGCCTCCAGATTTCTTTTTAAATAAACCATTTCGGGGCGCCTGGGTGGCTCAGTCGGTTAAGCGTCCGACTTCAGCCAGGTCACGATCTCGCGGTCCGTGAGTTCGAGCCCCGCGTGGGGCTCTGGGCTGATGGCTCGGAGCCTGGAGCCTGTTTCCGATTCTGTGTCTCCCTCTCTCTCTGCCCCTCCCCCATTCATGCTATGTCTCTCTCTGTCCCAAAAATAAATAAACGTTGAAAAAAAAAATTAAAAAAAAATAAATAAATAAACCATTTCACACAAACACGAACATACAATAGACAAATGAGGATAATGTGAAGTGGTACTTAAGAAAGAATGAAATTGATCTTCCCATGGAAAACTATATTTGTGTCTTTCCATTCTTAATGCTTTTTCCATTTGTGGGGGCAGTGTTGACAAAACTTAAGTGCCATGTGGGTGGTTGATTCTGTGTTTATCTGCAGACAAATATGGAGGATACTGGAGGTAAATATAGAGAATGTTATGAAGTAATAGCTAAAATGATAAGAAGAAGTAAAGCTGACTTATAGAAAACCGTATTTCTGCCTCTGAGTTCTTAATAACTCCCTTCCCTCCTCGCTTGTGCCTTTTGGGGTTATATTGGCAGTATTGGCAAAATTAAAGTGGCATGTGGGTTGATTCTGGAATCTTTATTTCCATATGCTCTTTAATTTCATCATCCTGAAGTTGTTACAACTATAACAATAGCTAAAGGATGACTGGTTTTTAAAAATATTAATGGTTGGCGCACTGTCACTTAGAAATACACTGGATGGGACGCCTTGGGGGGCTTAGTTAAGTGTCCAACTCTGGATTTTGTCTCAGGTCATGATCTCACGGTTGCGGGATCAAGCCCTGCCTCTGTGCTGACAGTGCAGAACCTGCTTGGGATCCTCCCTCTCTCCCTGTACCCTACTCTCCTCTCTCTCTCTCTCAAAATAAATAAACATTAAAAAAAAAAAAAAAGAAATACACTGTGATGCTCGGTTGGTTGTATTCACAAACATTATGTAGCCTAGATCTGCCAAGGCCCCCTCTCCTGTGGACTTTTATAAACTTATGGCTTTTATATGACATTCTAGGCCTTTATGAATATCTTGATATTAGATTGATTTTTCAAAGATTCTTAAATGTTCCATAGTCATTTATTTTGAAAAATTGAGAAAGACTTTAAAGAAATAAAGATCTGTCATCACTTTAACATTTTAAAATGTTAGTTTCTTTTCATTATAAATCTTACTACTATGAATTTTGTTTGGCTCTTAAGTTATTTTCAGTATAAGTCAGAAATAAGGAATAGAATTAATTCAATCAACACATCATCCTTGAGTGCCTCTTAACAGCATAGCAATATATCAGAACCACAGAGATGTGTAAGAAGGGGTGCCTGTTCTCAGGGAACTTAAAGCCCATTCGAAATAGTCATAAATAGTTTTGTCTAGTGCAGCCTCAGTGTTCATTTGAGGAATGATCATTAAAATGTATATTTTTTACATTTTTATTCCATATCAATAAGTCATATTAATTTCCTTAATCGGTTGAGAACAAACACAGAGGTCTTACATAGGAAGACTTGTTTTAGGACCATAAACAAAATCAGCAGCCTGTAACAAGCACTAAATCTAACCTTGGGAAATTAGAATATGTAGCAAATTGAGAAAGACATATTTTTCTGAAAAAATAGAAGGTCTTTTATATTAAACAAGAGAGTGTATATGGTCTATCTGCTGGAAAAGTTCTTTATGAAGATTAAGTTAAAATTAACATGTTCAGATATTTACAATGCAGTCCCAAATTGAGCTGATTGAGAATATGTTTTTCAAGTATTTTGGGAGATAATCTAACTGAAGTTATAATTTTTCCCCATTTTTTGCTTCCACTTTTATTTCTGGCTTGGAGGAAAAAAGAAAAATAAGCATACGAGAGTAGCATGTGGCTTGTTTTTAACTCACATAGCTTTCAAATAGAGGTTTTGATTTTCAGGTGCATTAGAACCTCAGCATGGTGACACTGTTCCTTTATAAAGAGTTTGCATCTTTAGAAGTCTCCCCCGGAGTAAGGGAAGATGAGGAAACACAAGGAAAAGTTATTAATTCTGTGGTGGGACATCAAAGGAACTCATCTGGCTTGCATTTCAGCAATGAGTTCACATTAAGACATGGACAGTAATATGGGATATATTCTGAGATCACAGAACTGAAAATCTGAGAGATACTTTAACTGTGGGATATAATGATTATACTAACACTGGCTAAAGAGTAAGAGTTTTCCAATCTTGAGAGAAAGACTCGTATCATAAAACGTGAGAATTCTCTTTTAACTAATAACTTGAGTTTTTATTCACTAGATCTTTACATGAGCTTCAAATTTGTGGAAAGATTGATTTGCTTTCCTTTTTGTCCAAATGGTTTCTACTTCTGTATAAAATCTGAATTCCTATTTAGTCATCTATAAACACTGGAAGGAACAAACTAGAAGATGTTGGAGAGAGAGGGATAAACCCATGTAAAATATGCAAGCAACTCAGATCTTTTTCAGTCTGCAGCAAAGGCAGGTCTGACCCTCAGCATCACTGGACGTGAGGCGAGGTCAGGATGATGGAACAATGGTGGTTGAAGACGGCAGATACCCAAGTGCCCTTGTCCTTTGACTCTTCTTCACGATCCTGTTTTCCAGGCCTTCTTCTGTCTGCTTACTTGACCTTTTTCTATTTCTCTACATCTGTCTGTAAAGTGGGGCCTGAAGTTGGACCTGGCTGACACACCAAAGACTTGACCACCACTGACTTTACAGGGATCATTGGATGGTAGATAAAGGGTGGGGGGAGGGTACAACTTGGGGGATTTTTAAATATCCGTTTTAAGCCTTGTATATTAGCGTTGTATTCTAACATATTGTCCATCTGCTTTTCTTTGATCAGTTTTTACTATTCATCTGCTGTCAGCCCTCTGGTCTGGAACTGATTATTTAGGGAAAATTGGTGGAGCCATCTGGAAACATGAACAACTTGAGTTTCTGTCTGATTTCTAATGCATGTTTTGATTGATGCTAATTACACGCTTCATTTCATTATTTATTGTTTCTGTTTATTGTTAGAAAAGAAAATCCTAATCTAAAATGAGTTGTTTTCAAAGGCTTTGGACTTGGCTGCCCTCTCCACAGAGTACTCTCAGTACAAGGACTGGTGGTGGAAAGTGCAGATTGGAAAGTGTTACTACAGGTAAAATCTCAACTCTGATCATTATTTTTCTGGGTAGATTTCCTCAGGAAGAGATAAGAACTGGGCCTTTGACTGACTTGAGAAAGCACTTCCTGAACAATCACATGGTAACACCAAGAACTGATACCTTTAGAATAATAAAATTGTAGGGGCGCCTGGGTGGCTCAGTCGTTTGAGCCTCTGACTTCGGCTCAGGTCATGATCTCACGGCTCGAGGGTTCAAGCCCCGTGTCGGGCTCTATGTTGACAGCTCAGAGCCTGGAACCTGCTTCGGATTCTGTGTCTCCCTCTCTCTCTGCCCTTCCCCTGCTTGCATTGGGTCTCTGTCTCTCTCAAAAATAAACAAACATTAAAAAAAAATTTAGAATAGTAATATTGTAGTGCCGGCCCAGGGAAACTGTGAGACCATCAGATGCAACAGCACTTTTTAAATGAGGAGGCTGAGGCCAGAGAGAGCCTGTGATTTGCATCAGGAACTAGTTAGTACGAGACCAGTCAGTAACGGAGCAGTTAGAGCTGAGGCTGTTGATTCCCATTCTTCTCCTCTTGCTCTCAAGTCTTTTTATTTCCCCCAATGCCTCACATCTGTAGTGTGCTTTACAGTTGGGAGATAGCTTGTCCATTTGTTACTTTACCTTAAACCTCACAGCACCTGGAGGTGGTTGCAATTATTAGCCCTTTGTCCAGATGGGAAAAATTGAGCCTCAGAAAAAGTGACCTGTCCAGATTCACACAGCTAGTAAGTGGCAGGACAAGAATTAGAGCTCAGTTTTCTGAGGCCAGTTCTCTTACTATTTGCACAATTCCGTGGTGTTTCTCTAGGATCTGAACAATCTTCCATTAATTCACTTAATGTTTAAACACGTTTTTAAGCAAATTAACGGCAAGGTCAGGAAAGTTGTAATTAGTTTTATGAATACTGTACAGCAACTAGTAAATGATCTAAAACTTGTTGCCTAGAATTGAAGTGCATTTGAAGCATTTGAAAAATAGAGACGAACGGGCAATTGTATTTTATAAAGATAAATATGTCTTTCATTATTCAAAACCAGGTAGACCGGTTACTCTGAGCATCCTTCAGATGAACTTATCAGTCCAACACTGTGAGGAAAAGGAAATATATAAATGGAATAAAAAGAATGCTTATTCTTTTTCGGTTGAAATTAAGACTACTTTCCACTTAGGTATTTTTACATAGAACTTATGTGTTTTCTCTGCTGTTAGATTGAGGAAGTATTTTCTACTAAAAGGTAATTTTGTAGCATTATACCATTAAATTTTTATGAGTATAATTTCTGAAGGCAAGCTTGAAATCCTGAGCTTCTAAACAAAAGCTTAAGAAATCTTTAATAATTAAAGACAAGCACAATTTGGACTCCTTCTGCCGTCCGTGTAAGATGGCATTTAAATGAGTGCACCTTGCCGTATTAGTCAGGGTTCTTCTCTGTCCCTTAATAGCCTCTCATCTTTGTTGTGCTCAGCACTCCTGCATTCACTCACTAAGCTATGTAACGAGCTGCTACTCTGCCAGGTACAAGGGTTACCAATATTTATTAGACAGTCTTTCCTTTAAATGGTTTACAGTCGGGGCACCTGGGTGCCTCAGTCAATTGAGCATCTGACTTTGGCTCAGGGCATGATCTTGCATTCCGTGGGTTCGAACCCTGCATTGGGCTCTGTGCTGACAGCTCGGAGCCTGGAGCCTGCTTTGGATTCTGTGTCTCTTTCTCTCTCTCTGCCCCTCCCCCACGCACACTCACTCTCTCAAACATAAACAGAATAAATGATTTAAAAAAATCATAGGGGATTAGGGGAGGGAGGGCAGAAAGGGGAGGGAAGAGAGGACAGTAAACAATTATAAGCCTAGCTCCCACCATGATAGAAGCAAGGCCAGAAAAAGAGCTCCCAAATTGGACTGGAGAGGTCAAGGGTGGATTACCAGAGGATGTAGCCCCAAATTTTGCTCTGATCAGTAAATTCTGCCAATTCTTTGTCTACAAGTAGCTCTCACAGCTGTTCCCTTACTACCCATTCTCATACCAGTGCCTGAATTCTGGCTTTTCGTTTTGTTTGAATTGTTCCATTGGCTTCTAATCTGGGTTCTCTGCCTCCATTTTCTTGCTCCATCAGCCCTCTTAGAAACGACCGTCAGAACAGTGTTGTGAAAAAAACAGCTCTGGTTGGATTCTCTGGTTAATCCCCACTACCTGGAGGATGAAATCTGGATTTTAAATGTGGCACGCCTGATCGTGTCCAGTCCACACGCTTGCCCATCTCTCTCTCTTCCCCCATTACTTATTGTGTCCTTCCTTCCAGTTGCACCCTACCGACCTCCCTAGACAACTCAGCATTCCCCTACCATGCTGTGCACTGTGCTCTCTGTGTGCCTGTGCTGACAGTTTAGTTTGTTTCCAGCAGAGATGTTACCCAACCCCCATCCCACCCTCTCTAGCCTTCAAAGGCTTGCCTGTCTCTTCCTCCCTGAAACTATCTTGGTTCACTCCTCCTCTGTGCTCTCAAAACACTTTTTTTTTTTTCTCTTATTGGCCATAAGATGATTCCATTTATTTGTGAACGTTTTGTTTCATGCTTATTTGTGCCTTTAGGACATTGTTGCGATCTTCATTTTTGTGTTATGAAATGTGCATGCAGTTGGTGCTTGACAGTATTTATTGAATTAAATTGGAGAGAAAAGCTTAGCAGTTGGTGGGTTATCTCTGGACTTTGACTCTCTGATGTTGGCCGGTGTTCCTGAACCTGACTGATATTTTCATTATTCCTAGACTTTCTTTATACATGGCCCCGTTAATTTCCTTTGCACAAGAACCCATGTGGTTATTCCTTTTTGATAGTACTAGAAGTTCTCTCTTGAGGGTGTGGTAATAAAAAAATATGTATGATCCATCCTTCCTTTCTTTGGTTTCCAGGGAAGTTAAATGGCTCTGATTGCTTTTTTGTTTTTTAACTTGTTTATCTTTCCATCACCATTGTTTGAAAAGAATCTGTTTTCTCATTCTTGTTTTGCATGTGTTTTATAGGATTACATTGTAATCCCTTTTAAATCATTTTTGGGAAGAGACATCATATTAGATAAAAATATCCAGACTCTCGTGGATAATTAAGTGTTCACAGAATTCAGTGGCTGAACTTTAGCCATATGCTTGAGACTTGAATGTTCAGTCGAAGCTGTGTAGAGAGCTATGCCGTTTTTCAGAACTTTAGAGTTCTTTGGTAACATTTTATGAATACTCTTATAAAAGTTATATGGGGGCTTCTGCCATTTAACACATTCTCTCTAATTTTAGGGCAGTGTTTGGGGGGGGGGAGGTTGCTTTTAACCCCATTAATCTTACGTCTTCCAACAGCTGTTAGGATACAGCTGTTTCATTCACTATGAACGGAAGTAGACTGAGGGAACATACTGTGTACTGTTCCAACTTTCACAAAGTAAAAGCATCGTAAGGTGCCCAAGTAGCTCTTGGCTGGCGAGCAATGAGTAGTTATGAGAAAGCCCGACAGATCTAGGACAGGCTCAAGTATGCTTCCACGATTGAGTTAGTGGTAATAGAACGTTCCCTGGGCTGATATCAGGACGGCTACAGTGAGGCAAGGAACAGATCTCAGATTTGTAGACTAGGACAATCTGTATTGGATACGAAGATAAAAAAGGAAAAGAAAATGTTTGTAGAATCACAACATGGCATACCTGTTTCCTTCAAGTAGTAATTACTACTTACATCAAAACTGTTTAAGAATGGCTTTAAAAATGGGCCTTTGTCCCAGAGCAGGTAATATTTTCATAGAAATGCCATCAAGTTCTTCTAATAAAATGGAGACCTTAAGCATTTATTCAGGTCACTTGCCATATGTCCAGCTGATCATAAGCTCTTTGGGTGGTAAACTGGTATGACCTGGCTCACTGGCAGCTGTTAGCCCTGCTGTCCAGACAGACTTTCTACACACCGTTTGAGGGTTGCACTGGCCGTGAACATGGGAAATAGGCAACTTTTTGCTAAACTGTATCAACATAATGCAAATATTAATTTATGTGTGTTTGACATTACCTTCTTTAGTACACACTTACTCTTCGAGATAGAAATGTAACTTGTCTCTATTCATATCCTCAGTGTGTGAATAAGTGCTAGAGTATTTTTAAGTTGAATGTCTAATTTTTTAAATGACTGTTCTTAGGTTAGGAATGTATCGTGAAGCAGAAAAACAGTTTAAATCAGCCCTGAAGCAGCAGGAAATGGTAGATACATTTCTCTACTTGGCAAAAGTAAGTATTCTTAAACCGGAGTGAAATCTGTCTTCTCAAAATAAAGGTTCAAATTCTGGCCAGTATACACGGAGAGTTGCCAGTTTCTTCAGGAATATTTGGCAAGTTAATGTGCTCAGACATATTTTTCTTTATAGCAAGTGGAAAAGTGAGAACATATGGAGGCTAACGGTCTCAGGAGAAATTGATTGCCATGAAAAATAAGAAAACCCCTTTGAAAGATTGCCCATCAGAGTAGAAGAAGCTGCCGTAGGCTTGTTACCACCCTCATGGGTAACGGGCCCCAGAGAGGCCGTAGTTCCTACAACCTGCCAGACTCCCACCTCAGCACACGGTAGAGAACGGGGACTGTTTTTATGTAGGTCCTTCATTTCCTGGCTTGGCCATAACAACAAAGATTTCCCCTTTATTGAACACCTATTCAGTACAAGGTGTTATATCAGGTCTGTTCCACACACAGTTTAATGTAAGCCTCATAGCAACCCTGCAAAGTAGGTTTCGCATTTCCATTGTACTTTTATGGCCACAGAGACTTAAAGAAGCTCCAGTAGGGTTTTCAGGGTCACTTGGCTGTTTAGAGCCAGCACTGAAACGCAGGTCTTCCTACTCACTGTCCCCTGCTGCCCCCCACAGCCACAAAAGAGGTGAAGGGCCACTTAGAATTTTCAGTCCTGGGAGAAAAGTTACGTCTCAGCCCCTCACCAGGGCTTCTAGAAACATTTGATGAAGTGGCAGTTAGGACATCATCTTACTGTATCTTGAAGAATTTTTTTTAAATTAAAAAGTGCCGGGGCTCCTGGGTGGCTCAGTTGGTGAAGCGTCTGCCTTCGGCTCAGGTCATGTTCTATCTCATAGATTGTGGGTTCGAGCCCTGTATCTGGCTCTCTCTGCTGTCAGTGCAGAGCCTGCCTCAGATCCTCTGTCCTCCCCTCTCTCTGCCCCTCCCCTGCTCTCTCAAAACAAAACAGAACAAAAACAAAAAACACTTTAAAATGAAAAAGTGTGGTAAAGGAGGTTGAAAAGAAGAGATATAAAAGGAAGAACTACTTCCTAAATACGGTTTTAAGAATTTGTGTACTAAAAGGACACAATGAAAGTTACATCATATAATCTTACGGTGCCAAATAATCTTGATATATTTACTGTAGTTTTCAGAGATATTTGAAACTAAGTCCACCTTCGGTACATTACATATTAAAATTCTTAAGGAAGCTTCTAAGCATCACAGTAGACTTTTAAACTTTTCTGACACCTTGAAATGAAAACTTAGGTCACGCTATTTGTCATTTTCTTAACTGATGATCACTTGCCGGGTGGTTAAAAAAATAGGCTTTTTAACTATCGTTAAGTACATGGTGTGACATATTTTTCCATAAATTGATTTGCTTAAATCTCTTGTTGCCTTCATGACTGTATAAAAGTAAAATTTTCTTATTTTCTTTAATGTATAAAAGAGTAATTGCTAGGTAATAAACATCAATCTGATTTAGGAACAGTATTATTCCTGCAAATATTAGATTGTTAATTTAAAATATTATCAAACATTTGTATTACATAGTATATTAAATTATTTATTTCATTTAAAAAAGCAGTTCAGTAGTGTATGAAGTAAATATTGAAAATTTTTCATCCATACCTCTCCTTTTAATCTCATACGTAAGCATTAGACACTATACACAGTTTTCCCATGAAGACCTTCTTCAAAACACAATTTGGAAAGAAACAGAGGATCCAAGATCATGAAGAAAAAATGTCATAATCTTATGTTTCCATCCCTAAAACTATAATTCTCTACTTTAGAAATTTCTATGAAGTGTGTGGTTTATCCACGCTACTGTTCTAATTGCTAATTAAGTGGAAGCCATCAAGTGATGACTTTCTCAACTCCCTGACGCCATTCTTCACAAGTCTGTTCGTCCTCTATTTCTGGAGACCCCTTTTGAAAACCAGCTTCTCCACAGAGTCTCTGCTGCTGCTCTCTTGCAGACTTTGTTGTTCCTTGGGTCCTTCCTCTTTCTTCGTCTTCAACTTCAGTCTCGAATTTGGTTCCTTAGTGCCCGCTTATAGACATACTTGTATCTGTCCTATCCTAAACAGATTTTCCCTTGTTCCTTTCTTGCTGAGTTACTGCTCAGTCTCTGTGGCAATACAAGCCCACAATGAGCATTTGTTGAAGGGATAAATGAATAAATGCTTCAGATACGACACGTGAAGGTAAAACTGTAACATCACTATTGGAAATTAACTTCTTACTGTAACATGTAGGAGATCATGTGTCACTAAGCAGTAATTATAAACTTGTCGTAACAAATACTGTTATTTTAAGTGCGAGTACTTTTATTGAAATGTATCTTGGTTTTAGGTTTACGTCTCATTGGATCAGCCAGTGACGGCTTTAAATCTTTTCAAACAAGGCTTAGATAAGTTTCCAGGAGAAGTAACCCTACTTTGTGGAATTGCCAGGATCTATGAGGTAAGGCTTATTCAAAAAGTTGGTGTAAAATTGAAGTTAAACGCTACTTAAGAAGCTCATAGGCCCTTGGGGTCCTAGGAAGGAGAACAGTTTATAAAATTATGATCACTGGCCTGTGGTTTACTAACAGAGTCAGAGAGTTTTAGTGTATGTGTTTAGTCAACTAAGTTTTTATTATGAAGTATTTAAAACATACAAAAGACTATATAGTGTGGTAGGAGGTAGGGGTTTAAATGAGTTTCCCCCTATAGATAGCTTTTTGTCCAGCACATCTTTTGATCCTTCTCCAAAGTCTGTAATGTCAAATTATCAACTTTTTTTCTATACATGGTAGGTATGTTTCGGGGGCTGTCTATTCTATTCTATTCTATTGGTCTGTTTTTCTATCCTTGTACCAATATTATACCACCTATGTATTGAAGCCTCAAATACCATTTGGCACAGCTCTGTGTTCATCTTTATCAGGAATGTTTTGTCCATTTTGGACTTTTGCTTATTCTTACAAATTTTGGAATCATGTTGTCAGATTCCATGGAAAGCCCCACTGAGATACCTTCCTGTTGCCTAATTACTGTAGCTTTACAATAATTCCTCTACCAAGTTGGACGAATTCTACCACCTGTTCTTCTTCACAGATGGTTATTTTTGATCCTTTGTTTTTCCATATTGATTTTAGGATTGACTTATTGAGAACCACCAATAATCAAAATAACTCCTGCAGGCATACTGATTGGAATTTCATTGAATATATGAATGATGGGGTGGGTGGGCTGCCTTTCTTCCCACTCTCCATCATGGTATAATTCTCCATTTATTTAGATCTTGTTTTGTGCTTCAGTGAATATTTTGTAATTCTCTCCAGGAAGATGTTATTTTGGTGGTTCCCAAAACCACCCTGAGGTTCAGTGCTTTATTAGAAGGACTCAGGATTCAGCATTCAGTGGCACTCACAGCTAAGACTTATTATACCAAAAGGCTATGAAGCAAACTCAGTAAAAGGAAAAGGCACACAGGTCAAAGTTCAGAGGAAATCAGGCACACAAGTTACTAGGAGTCTTCCACCAGTGGAGTCACACAGGACACATTTAATTCTTCTAGCAACAAGTTGTGACAACATGTATGAAGCATTGTCTATCAGAGACTTGATACTCAATGTTATTACTGGGGGTTGGTCATATGGGCACCTTCTGCCCACCATGTACCAAAATCCCAGACTCCAAGAAATAAAGCAGGTATTCACACACCACATCAGATTTATGCACCACATTGTTTACACAGATAGTTTAGGTGTGTGAGCCCCTCTTATCATTTGAGGGAAGTTTTATATCAATATAAGAAACCCTCCAAGTTCTCAGATGCCAGCCAAGGGCCAACCTTATAAGCAGGCCTTTTTTTTTTTTTTTTTAATTGTTTAATTTACATCCAAGTTAGTTAGCATATGGTGCAACAATGATTTCAGGAGTAGATTCCTTAATGCTCCTTACCCATTTAGACCATCTCCCCTCCCAATCCCTCCAGCAACCCTCTGTTTATTCTCTATATTTAAGAGTCTTTTATGTTTTGTCCCCCTCCCTGTTTTTATATTATTTTTGCTTCCCTTCCCTTATGTTCATCTGTTTGGTATCTTAAAGTCCTCATATGAGTGAAGTCATATGATAGTTGTCTTTCTCTGGTTAATTTTGCTTAGCATAATACCCTCTAGTTTCATCCACATAGTTGCAAATGGCAAGATTTCATTCTTTTTGATTACTGAGTAATCCTCCATTGTGTGTGTGTGTGTGTGTGTGTGTGTGTGTGTGTGTATACACACCACATTTGGGCTCTTTCCATACTTTGACTATTGTCGATAGTGCTACTGTAAACATTGGGGTGCATGTGCTCCTTTGAAACAGCATACCTGTATCCCTTGGGTAAATACCTAGTTGTGCAGTTGCTGGGTCATAAGGAAGTTCCATTTTTAATTTTTTGAAGAACCTCCATACTGTTTTCCAGAGTGGCTGCACCAGTTTACATTCCCACCAGCAGTGTGAAAGGGTTCCTCTTTCTCTGCATCCTTGCCAACATCTGTTGTTGCCTGAGTTGTTAATGTTAGCCATTTTGACAGGTGTGAAGTGATATCTCATTGTGGTTTTGATTTGTATTTCTCTGATGATGAATGATGTTGAGCATTTTTTCCATGTGCCTGTTTGCCATCTGGATATCTTCTTTGGAGAAGTGTCTGTTCATGTCTTTTGCCCATTTCTTCACTGGATTATTTGTTTTTTGGGTGTTGAGTTTGATTAAGTTCTTTATAACAAGCAGGCCTTTCTAAGAATAGCAGTTTCAGACCCATTATGCTCTTTCCTGCATAGATCTATTTCTAAGTATAACTGTGGATGGAATCCTTTTTTTGTTGTTGTTGTTGTTATTTTCTATTTGACTATTTCTGGTGAGTAGGAATACATTAATTTTTTAAAGTTGATTTGATATTAGAAAACAGGCGTAATACCTTTTTTAAATTTTAATACCTTACCCATAGATTCTCTTAGATTTTCTAAATAAATAAAATAGTCATCATCTGCAAACACAGTTTCATCTCTTCGCATCAATTATTTTGCCACTTAAAAATTTTTTTACTGTTTAGGACTTCCAGTACAATGCTGACAAGAAGCATCTCTGTTCTCTCTTAAATTACTTGAAATGCTGGGACAATATTTTAAAATTATTTTGTTAGGAAAAGAGTGGAAGGTATTAATAGTTGCTGTATCTGAGTAGTAGTATGTGAATCATTTTTATTGTCTTTTTCATACTTTTTGTATTTTCCAGATGTTCTGTCATGTACATGCATTACTTTTAAAATTAAAAACAAATATCCTGGGGCATCTGGGTGGCCTAGTCGGTTAAGCGTCTGACTCTTGATTTCGGCTTAGGTCATGATCTCATGGTTCTTGAGATCAAGCCCCACATCAGGTTCTGGGCTGATAGTGTGGAGCCTGCTTGGGATTCTCTTGGCTCTCCTCTCTCTGCCCCTCCCCCACACTCTTTCAAAATAAATAAATGAACATTTAAAAAAATAAAATGAAAAACAATTTTATTAAAAAAATTTTTTTTCAATGTTTACTTTTGAGAAACAGAGCCAAGGGAGGGGCAGAGACAGAGGGAGACACAGCATCCAAAGCAGGCTCCAGGCTCTGAGCTCTCAGCACAGAGTCTGACGTTGAGCTCGAACTCACAAACTGTGCAATCATGACCTGAACTGAAGTTGGACACTTTAACCAACTGTCACCCAGGCACCCCACAAATTTTATTTTTAAATTGTCTCAAAATATTGTTTCCCCTTTTGAGATGTAAATTTGATAAACATGTAAGTAGGTGGCTTTGGTGATTCAATAAAAATGAAGTACTGTATTAGTATCTCTGTATCTTTACTTGTGTAACCCTAAGTTGAACATGAACTTTTGACCAAGAAGCTCAAGAAATAAGAGAATCAATTTTTGAGAGCAGTGGTATTCACGCATAGTGGGGACTGCCTCAATACAGTCGGAGCTCTCTGACCTTTAAGATCTGCCTTCTGCATATTTCAGTCCTTCTGTCCTTCTTAGGCAGGAGGTGCTGGCAGAAACAGCTAGACATACTATGGAATCTTTGACGCGTGTTTGCTGGTTGAAAGAATTCCTTCCGAGCCTCTGTTATAGTCACTGTTGCTATGGCTGGGACAGAGAATAGACCCTTTAATTAGCTCCCTTCATCCTTTCCAGCTCTGGGTCCAGCCAGGAGTTGGAGGGCCATATCCTTTTCTAAGTGTACAGGAAAAAGTTTGGGGAGGAAAGTGGAATTGGAGTTGGCACTCGAAGTGGAGAAGAAAGCATCCAAATCGTGGGGACGATCTGTCATCCGCAGGAAGCATGATCAGAGACTATGCGCAAACTTAAAATAGTCAGATGCAGTATTTCCCCTGGAATCTAACAGTTAATTTCCCTGGTGCCAAAGTTTACCATATAAAGACAGATTTCCATTGTATTCTTTTTCTCTTTATGTGACTGTAGATTCAGAGTTAAATAAGTAAAGTTTGTTCCTTAGCACTGCAGCCTACATTACATACACCTTAGGGATTTTTGTATGTACATCAGGCTTTTCTCTGGAGGGATCCTCTTCCATCCTGTTCTTTTTATCTCTTTCATTTTGATCCTGTGTCTTTCCAGTGTTTCCTATTTTAAAATGAACGTGTTTATTGTTCATTGCTTATTTTGTACAGAAAACTTGTTTAAAATAATGTATTCTTGCTAAATTTATTTGGCTGTGGTTTTAATTATTCTCAAGGAATTCTGTTTATCCCCTTAACAGGCAGGTCTCTAATTTGAACTGTTCTTTGTTAAAGATGTTTGAAATTAGAAATGTTACCCTAGCAAATATTATTCTAGTGGTTTTTGAGGTTTACTGTGTTGAAAAACTGACTTTGGGAGAGATTGAGCAGGATGGCCCACCTTCTGCCTCCTGAATCAGATGCCCTGGAAGGCGGGACTCAGGCATTTGTATGTTTGAGCTCACTGAGTGTTTCTGATGTAGAAACGGAGTTTGAGAACCACTGCAACATTCACCTCAAGTTATTAGCGACTTTATTTTAAATAACTAAAATCTAATTGTAGTTCGTATTTTATAAATTAGTTCCAAAACAACCCCGATAAACGTCACTTAAATGATACCATGGTTATTCATAGACTTGAAGTGACATTTACATATTTGAAAATATTTTTTTAAATCTACATTAATAAGGGGCGCCTGGCTGGCTCAGTCAGTTAAGCATCTGACTTCGGCTCAGGTCATGATGTTACAGTTCCTGAATTTGAACCTGAGTTGGGCTCTGTGCTGACAGGTCAGAGCCTGGAGCCTGCTTAGGATTCAGTGTCTCCCTCTATCTCTGCCCCAACCCCACTTGCACTCTGTCTCTGTCTCTCAAAAATGAATAAATGTTAAAAAATTAAAAAAAAAAATCTACATTAACAAAAGTTATCCTAGAGTTA